AAAACACCATGACTTTCTTCCTTTTTCATCACTGCTAAGCTGGCCATGCTAAACTCCTTTACCTGATAAGACAAAGCTATCTGACAAAAATTTTTCTGTGTTTAGTTCGAAGATTGCGTAAAAAGTAACGCATAAGCCAAGAAGAACCGAGAATAAAAGGAAACGCACGGAAGGATGTATATATGTGACTCACCACTCTAGCAGGAAAAAGCGAGACAGCTTTGATAGATTTCAGTACGTCGCTCTCGTTGATTTTATGAGAATTGCGGGATTTTGTTTCAGCACATGTTGCGTCGATCAACTGAAAGAATTCATGTCATACTGCTTGCAAGATTAATGGTTGAATAAAAAACAATACGCATTTTTTGAAAATTTTGTGCCAGTCGTCTCCACTAAAGTTAAGATGGCGAAAGAGAGGCAAATAAAGTTATATTTGGGTAGACTACGATTGATAGGAGTTAGGATAATTAACAAGTAAAGCAAGCATAAACGCTATGATTGCAGCTAATTATTAATTTTGAAAAGGGTGGAAAAACGAACATTTTTTTGGACAAATATTGATGGTATAAGTACAAAACTTTCAAATTCAAGAATAATAATGCTACTCGTCTTAAAAACGCACAACGGGGAGAACTCTATGACTGAGCAAAACAGAGACAAACCAATAACAAAAAAGACTGACTGCATCTAGTAAATCGTCCGTGTAGGACTTTAGCAATTCCTGCACCTCCGCGCTCAAAGGACGCCCAGCAACAGTTCGGCCAATGTCGACCATACTGAATAGACCATCCAATTTCTAGAACTGTAGAGGGCATCATATATTCAGCAGTAGATAAAAGACGATGAACGCACAATCGTAAAAATAAGAACATTGCGAGAAGCGGGTCCCATAAAAGGGCAAATTCCTGACAACTATGGAAAAAATTGAACGATTAAACTTGTCGTTTATGTGAAGAAAATTTGATTCAAATCATCATGGAGTTGAATCAGTAAAGATGCTACAGCGAGATTTTCAATAGAAAATTTCAAATTATCTGATTAGGAAGTTTACAGGAAGCGACTGCACTGAAACCAAGTGCACAATTTTGAACAACTCTGAACATTCGGTAAAGAAGGAAAATGGGAGTGAGCTTTTAGAAAGGTATTGTATGTGTACGGATGTTTCACAATGTGTACAGATGATAATAAAATGCGCGATGTTTATGATGTTTAACCAGACAAGACTATCAAACAGAAAGGAAAAGTCATTTTGTGATTTCCTATGGTTATTTATCCTTATTTATCCTTGACTGCACTTTTAAGTCTCCATTGTACCCTAGTCTTTCTTTAGTTTCATGGAGATAATGGTTACGTGTC